GAGAAAAGGCTTCGTGGCCCCAATAGCCTTTCCTTCACTCTAGGCTGTCATCCCTGACAGTGTTCATACAATGATATCACCACCTGAGGTTGGCCGCCCTTGGGTAATTTTTTCTGAAATTTTGTTACTTTGACTTTCACTCAAGCCTAAAATCTCGATCCCCACCCTGATTTCAAGGATGGACGGCAGGATTCTTCTCCCACGTTTAACTTTCCAAAAGCCACCCGTCTATTTGCCTGTCTCCTGCCATGCCCACTGCACTAACCTCGCCTTATCACAGGCTCCTTAGGAACTGGAATCCCTTTTTCTGCTTTGCCCAGCAGCCCAGGATTTAATCAAAGAGCCACTCCTTGAAGAGGGTGAAAAGGGAATGATTTCAGGGCTGAGCACCTTAGCAATGCCACAGGAGAATTTCAAGAATGCCGAGAACTGTCCTCACCGCACATTGTGCTTCTGCCTCACTGATCTTCAAATTAGTTCAGCCTAATGAACGCCAACAACATTTAAAGCAAATAACAATAGTCATTGTGCACCTCGTCTCTGCCTTCGTTCCTTCTGCATGTCCTGAGTTAGCCACGCTCAGTTTCCAAAAAGCGGTACCCCTGAGTCCTGGGGCTGGGGCTGAGAACCTTGGAGAAAGAAGTCACTGATAAGGATCTAGCCACTGAAAAGCCATAATTTGTTCACAGGAAGTACAGAACTTGTTGGTTGGTATTCTCTCTTTCCCAGCAATCATGGATTCAGTTCCTCAACAGAGCATGAACCGGTTTCTCTTTGCTTTGCTTTTATTGTGCTATTAATAGCAAAATTCTATAAAAATTTATATCAGCAGCTCTTATAATATTTTCAGTCCACTATGTAACATTTCTTATGAGTTTAAATCCTCTTGTGAGGGGGGATTTAAAAAAATTTTTTTTAGGTGTCTTAAAATTTTTTTCACTGAGATGGGTCTTATTTACTACAAGGCAAACGAAAATTATTTACGAACAGTACATCATTTGATAGAAAACGTCCTTATGTTTCTCTTTCTAATGTAAATTGTAAGTATGGCTGCCAGGAAAAAAAAAGAATGATTTCTCTCCTTGCTGGATAAAAATAGGTCAAGTAATTTAAGCCAGTCCATTGCAATTAAAATTCTGACACTGCCATTGTCCCTTCTGTTCTAGGGGGAAAAGACAAACAGAATACATGATAATAGGGGTTCATTGGCTAAGTCACCTTATGTGCTACCTATTGTTCTCTCGCTTCCATCTGCCTGGGAGCTCCGATTGGGTGATGGCAGTGCAGTACCCAAGTGACAAACACGGTCTCCGAAGCTGTGTGTCACACCTCCTCTGTTCCGTTGGAGAGGAGAAAGTTGGCAATGGCTTGGGTCCTAAATTCCTTGAATTCTGAACTGATTTATTTATCGGAGACAATGTTATCGGCCAAGTTTATTTTAAAGTAAATTCTACCCACTCCATTAGACAGGAACACTCATTCTCATTAGACATCCTGTGGCCCTTTTCACAAGGTTAGAGCCGGTGGTGGCTCAGTCACATTCCAAGAGATAATGCCTCCTGCATTCCTACACACTTCCCTCCACCTTCCCTGCCTCGTGCCCTCAAATATGTTATTATTTGTGCTTAGCCCAAATCAACAGTTCTGTTGTGAGAGGGCAGAGTGTCAACTTGAACAGACAGGCCAGGGCATTGCCGGTTAGACTTTTAAAAAGAACAGCCTTAGCCAATGCATGTTTTTAAAATAGGACGCAAATCTCAATTATGCACAATTCATCATAGGTTAAGGGCTTTGGTGAGTAAAATACTCTCATTTTAATAAAGGGTGTTTATTTTGGAATTGCCTTTAATAAAAGGTTTGTTGCTCAAATATATGCTGTTCCTGTCAAGAAAGAAAATGAAGTCTTCAGAAATGATAAAAAAAAACAAACAACAACAACAACAACGAAACAATAAAACATAAAACAACCCCCCTTGAGCAAACAGCTTTCCTTTGACCTTCTAAATAAATGCCACCAGGGGGCGAACACACCTAATGGTCCAGGACGGCAAAGTTTATATTTCAAAACCAGCCACTCATAATAGATTAGAGGATTAATATTTTTGTCTAAAGGATCTGGCCTTTAATGTTGACATCAATTTATAGCTATCCCAGGAGCTTACAGTAGTAAAAGTCACGGAGACCATAAACTTCACAATAGATGTCAGCCTTCTGGTACCAGTGCTCTAGGCTAGCACCCCATAAACAGAGGTGATTAGGTAACTGTTCTTCAAAGAGCCATCCGTAGCTGTAACATCTTTATCAGCCCCAGCAAAGATACTGCCACCAGGATTTTAGCAGCCACGAGGCAGAGGCGCGCGTTTTTATGAATGTGTATTTATTTTTCTGTCACGTTTCTATGATGTTGCACTGGTTGCTTATCACTGATCTCTTCTTGAAAACCAAGCGTGGGGGTGTCTATTTGTGGGCACCGCTAAAAGAACAGAAGCACTCTTGTATCGTATTAGAACTTTTTGAAAAACAGCCAAGGTACAGAGGTCAAATTTCCCCATATGCTCTAAGTAACTTAGTAGGAAGCAAGACCACAAAAGGTTTTGCAAATGTCTGCCAGAAGCCCAGTGATCTAGGTCGCTGTACAGGTTTCATTAATCAGGGTGTTCAAACAAGGAGTTATTTTTCTCTGCCTGAGAGACCTGCAGATATATCACACAGAATCTGCTCAATTGTTGATCAAGAAAGAGTTTTAATGAAATAGAGATCATTCAAGTGAATGGGAGGGCGGGGCGGGGGTCATATCTGTACTGAAGAGAAATTGTGCTTTCAACCCAGCTCCTCTGTTTGAGTCCTCTGTTCTGGCAGAGATGGGCTCAGGATCTAATAATAGTTCCTTGAGCTCTGCATCGCCACATACGTGTTCGGGTTAGAGCAGCAGGAGGAATTTAGTGACAGAGCAGGTGTTGTGGCTTATTCCCTGGCAGAATAAATGGTGGAGGGTGGTGGCCAGACAATTTTTTTGCTCCTTTCTTTATGTAAAAGAACAATGCCTCCAATAGGCTTCCTTTTTTTTTTTTTTTTTTTTTCCTGGCACAAGTGAAAAAGAACTAGAATTGCTATATTAAAATGTATGCAAACATATTTTTTCACTTGAGCCTCTGGGAAAAAAAAAGAAAAGAAAAACTTATGGTGAAAATGCTTAGCCAGGAAGATTTACTGCTGATTGCAGATTTAGTATTGACATGTCTTCGCTGAAGAAAACTTCAGCTTTAACTATTAATGTGGGAAACCTGGATGAGCTTTTAAAACGGGGTGGGAAGAGTTTTCAATGGCAGTGTATTTTCAGAGAAATTATTGAGAACATCGTTTTTAATAGGAGTGTCAATTATAGTGGCGTGTGCATCTTAATTTTAATGGTCTGCCTTGGCTACCAAATTATGGAATGTAGGTGATCTGAATTATACTGGAGTCAGTCTTTATGCAAGACCCACTGTTACTTAATGCTTCTACATACCCTTCTCTCCTTTTTAATTATAAAATAGGCTTAACGAATGGGATCTGTCTAAATGAAATGCCCTTTTAAAATACTGAGCTTTTCTTCAATCCACATTTCTTTACTCCTCTAGTAGGTTAAATACAAAAGACCTTTCCCCCCCTCTCATTAATGTAGGTGTGTTACCCTTAGAAGATAAGCTTGGAAAACAAAAATTTTTTTCTCCTGCCAACAGAGACAATTGGAGGTTTTAACAATATTACTTTTTCATTTGATTATTTTATATAAGGTAAAACCTGACATCTATTTACTTAACTGTAGTTATATATTCTCGATAACCCATTTAGGTGAAATTAAAATGATCTTATCCTTATGTCCTTTGCACCCAATGCCTATGACAGAAAATGCTCAGTATTCTGGAAAACAGGGCATACTTCAGAGGGAACATCTTGTCAAGACTGTAATTTGACCTTTGACTCAACCTCTTTTGAGTAAATTTTAAATATTATAGGAGAACAAATAGAAAGCCTCAAGGTATAATTCTGCTCCCTCTTCCTCTTAGAACTCTAAGCCAGTCAGAAGCTATTTCAGATATTCAGCTAGCTGTGTGCATGCCTGTCCTTCATACTTTGGCTGAAAAATAAGATTCATCGCTAGAGATAAAGATTTCTATATAATGCCATCCTCATCCATCTCCCAGAATATTACTCCCTTCTACCTCGTTTGAAGTAGTTGAATCAGTTATAGCCAGAAACATTTAATTTTCCCTCCTCCATTCTATGAGAAAAAATATCTATAATGTTTAGTATAATAAACCTTTCTAACTCTAGAGCCTACTTGAATTTGATGGCAATTAAGGGGAAGAAAAGCTTTGACAACTTTGTAGCTTTTGATTAAACCACACCAAGAGACATGTTCCAGTGATAACAACTAAGCATTATGCCAATTATGTTAAATCCTGCTCCCCGCTTGCTTAAGCTCATCATGACCTGTTTTAGTGTCCAGTAATTTACCCTTTGGAAGGCTTTACTCTCATCAATAAAGTGTTCAACTTACAGAGGAAAATAAAAGGAAATCCACCAAAGGGAACAACCAACCCCCAAATGACTTCTAGAAAACAAGTATTTCTTAACTTTTTATTGACATTGGCAAATTAAAATAGAATAAATTAACAAGTATTTTTTCAAAAAAATGTTTTGTACAAAAATACTGTCAAAATTTCCTAAAAAGCTTTCAACACAGTAGTATCTTTTCATGTACTGAATATAACTATTAGCACAGTGTCAAAAATGTTGAAGACAGAAACAAAATAAAAATCTGTGAAATGTTTGCCACTGTCGACATTCCACACACCCTATTATTGTCTGTACATATGGGGGAGGGGGGGGGCAGCCAACTTGAAAGTGAACAGTATGACTTTTTCCTGATCCAGAACGGCTTGGCCCGCATCTGTTTAATCTTCCAGTTTAGCATATTTTAAAAATTAAGTCTGTACTCGAATGCATAGTTTAAAAAAAAAATGAAGCGAGGTGGCAGAGTTTGTGCATCTGCCCTTCAGAGTTCATGCAACCCACTAATGCAATTTTTCCTTTCACTCATAAATTTGAATGCAGTTCAGTCATTTGAAACCATCTACAGAATCCACAAGATTAAGCAGTTTGCCAAGATTAATATCTAACAGTTGAGCACTGGAGAAAGTGAGGAAATCAAGGAGTAAAAAACAAACAACAACAACATCAACAAAAAAAGAGACCAAGTTAGCTAGATATTTCAAACTACATAAGGGAGGTGAATGTCAAGGCTACAAAAACGAAACAAAAACAGGAGGAGAAAAAAAAAAGTGGCAGCAATTTTTTTTTTAAACCAATTTGTACAAGTGTATAGTTTACTTTGTTTCCAAGTTCTCAGACCTTTCAAGGATTTGAAAAGTTGAGATACTGTGTCTAAGGGAATGCTTTTTGTGTTTGTTTTTTTTTTTTTAATTCACACCGAAGAAGAAGTTGGGAGGGTTTGATTTCTTTTTTTTTCCTTTTCGCCTGGTGTTTTGATCGGAGTCAACAGCTGACTCGACTGGGCTGCTGTTTGCACACGAAGTCCGTCATGAAATCGAACTCATTCTGCCCCAGCCAGAGTTCAGGCAGCTCCTTGATGCGGTCCAAGCCCATCTCTATCACTAAGGACATGAGCACTTCCTCATCGATGAAATCAGTGTCTATGACATTGGGCGGCAGCATTGCAGCGGGGACGTGGGCCACGGAGGCGGGCATGGTGCTGCCGCCGCTGCCGCTATTGCCGCCGCTGCCCGCGCCGCCGGAGGTGCCGCCGGAGCCGCCAGGGGTGCTGCTGCCCCCCGAGCCCGGGGTGGTGCTGCCGCCGCCGCTGTGCTTGGGGGTGCAATCTCGGAAGTGCTGGCTTGTCCCGTTCATCTGGTGGCCTGCAGCGGCGGCGGCGGCGGCGGCAGCAGCAGAGTGCAAATCCGGCATGTAGTGGTTGTGGGGGTAGGGGTGGTGGTTGAAATACTGGTTGTTGAGCTTCTGCAGCTGCATGCTGGCCGGCAGGGAGCCTCCCTGGCTGGCCACCGGGGGGCCCAGGAACTGCGAGTTGTTGAACCGGGCCGCGGGGGCCAGCGCGCTCGCCGGGTGCCCTCCGTTCACAGTCCCCGGCCCCATCGCGTGCCGGATGCCGCCGCCCGCGGCGCTCATGCTGCCCGCGCCGTAGTGTATGTGCTCGCCCATGAGGGCGTTGAAGGCGTGCTGGGGCTGCGGCTGCGGCTGCTGCTGCTGCTGCTGGTGGTGGTGCGGGCTCGGGAACTGCCCCATGCCCATGCGGTGGGCAGGGTGGTGGTGCAGCCCGTTGGTACCGTCGGGGAAGCGCCCGTGGTTCATGGCCATCATATGGTCTGCCATGTCCAGTCCTGCAAGGGAAGAGGGCAGACGGACGGTCAGACCCGCACGCCACACGTGACGCCCACCAGAGCGCACCCCACTTTTTCTTGCCACTGCTTCCCCCCCACCCCCCCAAAAAAAAGACCCCGGGGCGCACGTCGGCTGCAAAAATCACCATCCCCAGGATCCACCCCCCTGGTAGCTAGCGCACCGGGACTCGCCAACACGGCGGACCTCCTGCCACCCACAACGGAGGAGCCGGGCGCGCTGGCACACACAGCCCCTTCCCCGGCGATCGGGCGGGAGGCGCGGAGCCCACACCCCCCTCTGCTCTCGCTCTCCCTAAGTCGCCTCATAAAGGAAGTGCCCCGCAGCCCCGCCGCGAACTTAAGGCTTTCAACCAGCCCTCCTCGTCCTGTGGGTTGCACATCCTGTTGTTATTCCCCAGCTCCGCCTCGCGCGCTTCCTCCGGGGCAGACCCAGCCCTCGGAGGGACCGGGCTGGCAGGCAGGAGCTCCGGCCAGCTCCGCCGGGCGCCGGGCGCGCTTACCTTCCGTCTCAGCGGCGATTTCAGCTCCGAAGACCGGGGGCGGGATCGTCGGGTCCAGGACCGGCTTCAGCAGCACATAGAGGGGGCCTTCCTTCCTGGGCGTGCAGGGCGCTAGCTGGGTGGCGTGGTGGTCGGCGCTGAGGTCTTGCAGCGGCGGCCGCGGGGGCAGGATCGGAGCCGCTCTCCTTTATTTTCCCTCCGCTGCCCTCCCTCCCAGCTCAGCGAGACTCAGCCCGGCCACTGCCAACAATGAGCTGTGTTTCTTAGGGCTTTGGCCACAGTTAATATAAGGAGCTCAGGAAGGGCGGAGCGAGGGCCTCCCGGCCGGGAGGCGGGAAAAAGCGGATTCTGGAACGCCGGGCACGCCGGACTGGGTCGTGGAGCTGCGTCGGGCCCCCCCCCCCCTTACTCCGCCCCCCTCCCACGGCCAGAGGCAAGTGCACCGAGGCTGCAACGGGGCCGGGGTCCTGCCCCGTTGCACCCCCAGACTCTGGTTTCTTCCCAACCCGCAAATGTGGGGGTTGGCCCTGCACGCCGGGTACAAGGAGAAAATGCTCCTCGGACTCCTAGCCCGCAGGTATCGCCTTCCCGGAGAGGAGAGAGGAAAACTCACCGCGCCCCAGCCCCCCCGTACGGCCGGATCCCCCATCCCAACCTCTTCCACCGGGTTCGCCTAGCGGTGTGGGCTACCTCCTATGGGAAAAGGGGGTTCTCTCGCGCCCTAGCCCTCCATAGTGCCCTTCCGCCTCCCCGGTTTTGCAAAAGCTTCCTTGGAAAAGGCTGAGAGGGACGGCTGTGTTTTTCCCCCGAGTGGGGTTTTAAAGCCCGGGACAAATAATGCCACCGCCGCCCCCGAGCGCGCTTTCCTGGGCTGTGCCTTTGTGGGTTTTTTTTGTAGGGGCAGCAGTAAGCTGATTTAGATATACTCCTTGTAGATGCATTTTTTTATTTTTATTTTCCTCCTTTCAAGGACAGGAGCTGGGGGCGGGGAGCGGCACGGGCTGCAGGTGGACCGGGCGCGCTCGGCGGCCTGGCCGCCTCCATTCCTTGCGATGGGGAATCCGGACCGCGCTTTGGGGCCCACCCGCCGCTCCCGGGGTACGTGTGCTTCAGCTAAGTTTGCTTTGCAGCTCGCTCTTGGTAGCTTTGGCATCCGAGCTGAGGCGTCTCTGCTCTGTAAACAAACTCAGCGATCCTCGTCCCCAGATCCACCTTTTTGCACATACGCAGTTTCTTGCTTCTGCTGTTGCCCTTGATCCGGGAGGGAGGTGGGGGTGTGTGTGTGCAAACTTGCACAGCCTCCCTCTGGCCTCTGCCTGAGGGTTTGGGGTTGATTCAGAAGCGAATGGGTTTGTAATTAAGAAACGCGAAGGCTGCGTAAGGCTGCTGCTGCTGGAAAAGGAAAACAAATAGCACGGTAATCGTTTGGTAAATAAAGTTGTTCTGGAGGTGGACGCGTAGCTGCACGTCCCATATGGCACCGCGCGCGCGCACACACACACATACACACACACACACACACACACACACACACACACACACACTCCTGGGACTCTTGCTTTGCAGGGAAATTGTTCGGCGGAGCAATGGGCGATTATAATAACCGTGCTTCCCATAACGTGACACGACTAGCCTGGTCTCCTCTTCGGCTCACTGACTTGCAAATAAAAGCCTTAACTCGGGTCTGGGCCACAACCTCTCTCTCTTGCTAAGTCGGGAAGCAGAATTGTTTCTCCACCGCCACGAGGAGGCTGCTGCTCCAAGCCTTTCTATTGCTCTTTATGTGGTAACAGCGAGTTTAGCATGTAGCGCTCCGAATAAGGACTTCTGTTCAGAGTTGTTTCTTCATAACTCTATAGCCATTGAAGACTTCCTGCTGCCAAGAGCCGGTTCCCCGCATCCCCTGCTCCCTCCACCCCCCCTTTTTTTCTCCCTTCGCCTTCACAAGACTTATAGGCCTTATGTCTTGAGAACTGGAAATCCTGATACATTTTTTCCTTTTCAGGAATTTGCAAGTGAGACTGAACGCTGTTTATTTTCTATAACCCCTCCATCTTCCATATATCACTGTTCTCTTTTTCCTTTTCCAGGCTCTCCAACATGGATGACAGTATATGCAATAATTTTTAAACCTCAAAGATCCTTACTTTTTGTTAATCAGCTTAACAATAACCCACAACCTTCGGACCAACTATAGATCCTTACTTTTTGGAGACTTGTGCACAGAACACATTGCATCGTTGGTTGCAACCATCCCCTATTATCCTCTCCACCCACTACCTTTTACCTGTAGGTCTTGGATATGAAGTTGCAGAATCAGAGTCTTGGAAGAGACCTATGAAAAATAGACTCCAAAATATCAACAATTGCCAGATACATGGCTTTCTACCCCGTTGTCAGACAGCAGTGTCTTCAAGGACCAGCTCTTGAATGTCTCCTGGAAAGAAAGGTGTAGCTCCATCCGTTCCATTGCTTCCACGTAATATTGGGCAATGCCTTAAAAGGTCACTTCCTCCTCCCCCACCTCACAGAGGGGGAAACATTTGTTCTGGGACTTGCTGGTTAGACTGTGGCACTCCTTGTCCATTTATTCATCCATCCAATGAACGTTTCCCAAGCGCCAGGCACTTTTCCCAGTGCCCGGAGAGACAACTAAGATAGGAACTCATGGTCTGAAGGAGGAGGTGAACAAACAGCCTTGGACACACTGTGATCAGTGCCACAACAGCATTCGACACAAGGACTGCTGGGAGCACATAGGCAGGACACCCATTCAGGGCCTTGGGAAGGCTTCCCTGTGACTCAGTTGAGGCCTGAGGATGTGTAAAAGTGGGGCCGCCCCAGGAGGGGGCACAGAGGAAACAGGTCGGAGAACTAAACTGGGCTGGATCCTGTGGGCTTTGGTCCTCAATTGAGAACTTTAGATTGTATCTTGAAGACAACGAGAAGCTGGTGAAGGCTTGTGGATCAGTTAGATGATCAAATTTTTGTTTTAGGGAGATCAGGACAATACTGTGGAAAATGGATTGAGAAAGTAAGATTGGAAGCAGGGAGTCCAGTGACAGTCATCCGGGGGTTTATCCTGTAAACCTGGGTAATATAACCATCAAGCAGTATGACCAGCAAACTGTCACACTTCATTTTCCGAGGGCTTTCATAACCAAGTACCCATGAACTTTGTTTATGCCGCTCAGAATTTTATTTTCTCACATCTCTGGAGGCTAGAAGGCCAAAATCAAAGTGTTGGGAGGGTTGGTTCTGAAGATTGTGAGTGAAAATCTGTTCTATGTCTCTCTCTCCTAGATTGGGTAGTTTGCTGATCATCTTTGGTGTTCCTTGGCTTATACATGCATCACCCCAATCTCTGGCTTTACCTTCACATGATGTTTTTCCCTGTGTGATTGTATCTTTGTGTCCAAATTTTCTTCTCCTTCTCCTTCTCCTCCTCCCCCTTCCACCCCTATTCTCCTCCTCCTTCCTTTTCTCCCCCTCTCCACTACCCCTGCTCTCTCCCCCTCTGCCCCTCCCCCTCTTCCTCTTCCTCCTCCTTCTTCTTTCTTATTGGATTAGGGCCTATCCTAATGACTTCATTTTAATGTGATGACCTCTATAAAGATCCTCTCTCTAAATAAGAAATAAGGTCACATTCTGATCTACTGGGGGTTGAGATTCCAACATCTTTTTTTAAAAGGACACACTTCACCCCATAACAGTGGTAGAGAAACTGAATAACACAAGATCCCTGCCATTATGGAAGAGAGATGCTGCCTGAAACTCTCTTCCCAGTGATCCTGCTGGCCACACTCTCACTTCTTCCTGTCTTGCTTAGATACACCGCAGTGAGGTCTTCCTGGCCATCAACTTGCATGGCAAGATCCTTTGTTTTCTTACTCTGTCTGTTTTCCTCCTTTATCCCCACCTGGCATGCTGCACGTTGGATATCGTTGTCTTCCCCAGTAAGATGGCAGCTCCAGGAGAGCAGAGATCTTACTCATTCAGTGTCTTAAGAAGTCGTGGTGTATCAGTCTTTGACTGATTAGATTAATGTGTGAATGAATGAGTGGAATATAACAGAGGTGTTAAGGGAAGCCAAATGAAAAGCTTGGGGAAGGAGGGCAGGGAAGATTTTTCTGGAGAAGGTTACTTCCAGGGCTGGAGGAAGAAACAGCGAGTAGAAAGGAGAGCAGCAGCTGGCCCCTGTGGGCATTGTGGCCTCTCATGCGTGTGGGGAAAACTGTGATCTGTTTGGGAAGATGGCTCACCTCTGGGTCAGGATTGCTGGCTGCTGGTCCTCATTGATGTAAGTATTTGATTGAAACACATCTTTGAGAAGTAAGCCTCCAGCTTCAGCTAATTCCCGAGTTGAAGAAAGCTGACTGAACTTCAAAAAATATGTGAAAGAGTCTATACATGTGTGGTGGGGTGGGGGTAGGGTGGGGTCTCAGTCTGAGTTTTGTGCTTTACATAAAGGACTTCACGTAATACGCACCCCAAGGATGACTTTCATCAGTCTAGAAAGGAGAATTTTGAGTCTCAGAGGGTTTTAAACAAACAAACAAACAAACAAACAAAACATGTCCACTTTCTCAGAGGGATGAGTTAAAACGGGAGAGAAAGAAAGTCAAAGGCAGACACTGGTTGGATCCCTTCTCTCTCCCTCCTCTCAACACCTTGACTCTGGGCCTTAGCTGGTGAGGAAACACTGCTGCCCATGGTCCCACCATTCACTCAGCCATCACAGTGAGTCAGTATTAGAGTGAGTCAATGTGACAATGGTCTCTATTTCTGCCTTTTTCCTATTTCCTTGTCTCCCTCATTTATGGGGTCTGTGATGAAAAGTCCCATATTTTACTGATCTGTGGAATAACTCCAGATGGGAAATATTGGTGGATTCATAGTTTCTGATCTAGAAACTATGGATGGCCTTTAATGTCAGGGTGATAACATCTATAATA